GGTAGCTCATGTTTAGACTCAAGTGTCTTTATTTTTGCCTTTGACTTTAGTGTTCCTAAATTCATAAAATATAAAAATATAGTATACTGAGGAAGCATTTGCTCGTGGCAGGTCCCTGTTGTGGTAGCACACTAACTTTAAAATAAATCTATAATTTCATCAATCAATTAGTGTGGTGTTAAACTGCTCTCTTATAGGCAATAATTTGAGGGTGTTTGTATTCACATCACATGAACAATTCACTAACTGTAGTTCTCAAATTCTATAGACTCCCAATTTAGGGAAACAGCCTGTAATTTACTAACTTATCAAAAACTGAAAGGTCTCATATGGTGAAAATCTACTTTTATTGTGTTTTGTGGTTGTTATAAACTTTGAAGTGTAAAGTAAATGTTATATATGTACATCTGCCATTCCTCAAGCTGCATTGCGATCAACTGTTATGCTCTGTGCTGTTAGTCACAGATGCAGAAAGAGTCTTCTTCCTGAATGTGACAGAGACAGCAGCAGGTCAGCTGCATTTAAAGCTACAGACTGAAACGGTCTGTTTTGAACAGGGCTAAAACCAGGAGATATACAGTCATTGTAAAATAAACTTGGAATGCCACCCTTTGATGCTCTGATAGGCTTGTGCTGCACCCATGTTTGTGTCTTGGTTGTTTCAGGCTTAAGTAAGGCAAGAACACATAATTATTTGACAGAGGTCAGGTAACTGACTTCACTGTTCAGTTATTCAGTCAAGAACAATGCATTGTTTTGTCTTTGAAAAAAAACATATTGGTTGTATTGATTGGTTTGTCTTGAAATTGAAGGGCTATATGTAGTTTAGAAGAGCCAGATATTTACCCAGTATAGATGTCAACAGCGACAACACAAGCCCTTTCTGATGTAATCAAACCTTCCTTGTAACTCTGTAGCAAGAGTGTGGTCTAGTGATTCAGCAAGGGTTTCTCAGTTGGTATGTTATGTGTTATGTAACATTCACACTACAGAATCAATGTATGAATGCCTTTCCGCTGTGTGTGGTGCCTATTAAAATGATGGATTCCCACTTGTGCTACAATCAGGTAGCCAAATCTAAGGTGACGTCATTAATAGCTCAAAAGACCAGCATACTGCTCTGCCGCCTGTTTATTGTCTAGCGTTCGTTCTTCTCTATAATTACCCGTCTCCGTTCATACCTGCCTATGGAAGTTGAACTCAGTGCAGAAGCTCCCCAGCCTGCTAGACCTGCTTGATCACTGCTTTCACGAAGAGCCATCTCCACTAATCCAATGCATACCAAACCTGTGACTTGTTTGTTGTGCATCCCTGAGAATGACTTTGATTACAGTCTGTCTTTTTGTTGACAGTCTCTATTGTGTTGTGTTTAATGCATGCACTGTAATGGAAGATTTGTGTACGTCATCACAAGGAATCCTTGTTTTATCAATGTTGTGTTAATCTATTTATTTTAATAGCTAAGTGCTAAAATGTGTTATTTTGCTGTTCTCAGGATACATTTTCCTCATGAAACATTAATTTTAAAACCAATTACACAAAATTTTTAGATTTCGGGGAATAGCACTCCTTAAACTTCCTCATAGCTCATTTGATGCATAACAGCATTTTTCATCTCAAGTCAAGCAGCATGTAATGGTATGTCCTCGTTATGTACTTGTTCTTTTCATGTTTCCTGCGTGCTATGACTTCTTCCAGTTAGTACTACATAATATATGATTTCTTTCGTGTTGTACAAAGTTAACAGATTTAAGGGTTGGGCTGTCCAGGTCTACGTTAACTGCTACTTTGCAGTCCACAACAAAAACTCAAGACTTAAATAAGAGTAACTAGTTGCCCTTTGAGGACACAAAGACAAATGCACATAAACAATATCCATCTCGCTGGAAGTCGATTTCATTGTGGCTGGGTCTAGTGAAAGCAGATCTTGTTTCCCTCTCATGTCCAATGGCCTGCCTTCCAGTGCGTTTTCTATCTTTTTTCTTTCCCTCTCTCTTGCTCTTTTCCTTACCCACCCCTTCCCCAATTGCATGTGTGTCATTTTTTCCACTCTCTCTGGGGAAACACGGCTCTTTTTTCTACATAATGTCTGTGTATGTGTACATAAGCGAATGCATGCGTAAAGTGAAGAGAAAACTGCAAGTAGATTTTAAAAGTACATAGTTTGTGTATGCTTTTGCATATCTCACCTTATGTAACTTTGCTGTTTTTTGTATGTGTGTATGTGTGGCTGTGTAAGTATTGTGTTATTTTTGAGTCCTCCTGACCTCAGTCATGAACAGTCATTTGTTTAGTCTTTAGATGAACATCTCTATGACGGTATTACATACTAGATAACAATCTAAACATTTGTGTTGCCTAAAAAAACCTTTGTGTAATGCTGTATGTGCTGGCTTCTCAGTAACTTCTGAATATTAAAGCAGTTGGGAGTTAAGTCCCTCACTCAAACAGAATTGCAGTTATTGAAATGTCACTGTTGTTTATTCACTTCCTTACTCCGAGTGTTTGTTTGGGATTTTACATCATCAGCCTCCAGATCAGAAGTCTATTTCTGTAGGACATCACTGCCTCCTACAGATTACAGATCCTGTGAGTTAGAGTTATGTACGGCATCACACAATTATACCGAAGCACATATTTACACCTGAGACATGCTCAGGGTGGGTACAGTAACATCTTGTACTTGTACTGAACAGTAGATAGCAGTACAGAATGTTAAAGAAGATCCCTCCAAAAACTATTCAGCTATAGTCAGAAAAAGTGTGAAAAGCTAATGCCTCCTCTTTATAACATTTTGTATGAAGAGGGTCACCTCTGCAAATGAGCTAGATGGATCTAAATCCAACCAGAGCTCAAAATAGCATCTAGTGTACCTTTTTTGTAGGCTGACTAGCGTGTATGTGTTTTTGTATATTATAGCACACACTGGTTCAGTCAGGACATTATAATGCATGACTTTCAGCACGGTGAAAAAACAGCTTGAACACAGACAAAACTTGTCCTCTTATGAATGATGAATTATCTAAAAACAGTGAGCCACTTGACATCCCTGTCCTCGAGTTTCATGTACGTATTTATGCTCAAGCACCAGAAAACAGCAAGTCTGCATTTTGTATTTAGAAGTTACTGCCCAAAAAGGCCACTTCATAAATCAGTTAGATGTCATTGTGCAGTTAAAATGAGATGCAGTTTGCTTCAAAGTCACAGACGTGCCTTATGTCTGAAATGACTACGAAACCAAGATTATGTTAAAGGAGCATGAAACTAAAGCTATACGAGCTATAGCTAAGGAACTTAAAAGCACACAAAAAGTTTTATGTAGGAATTCTTGGAGGAATTCTGTGGGATTTTGTTGCTGCTTTGGGAATTAGGATGTAGGCTAACGTGCCCTGGGTCATGTTAATCTGTGACAAAGCAGCTGTGTAACTCTTTGGTGTGAAGCAGCCTTGATAACGTGCGAACATTCAAAAAGTATTAAACAGTTTCTTTATACAAGTGGCTGGCTGCACTCTAAATTCTGAAAATTTTACCCACTCTAATGTCTGTTATTAGAAGGCCCCTTGGAGGGAATTGTTGCTAAATTCAGCCCCTGTTTTCATGGAAAGACAGTTTACTCTTCAAGAGTACTGATTTACTGAACACTGTGTCCCACAGCTGAAAATGCAGGTACAATGCAGGTATTGTGGAGAAGCACTGTTGCCTGGCACACGACATTACCCAAAGAAAGTGTTTACTGCTTGACTTTTTAGTTTTCCTGTGCTGAAAAACACACTTTACAGTTACTTTTGACGTTGTATGTGCGCACACATATATGTGTATTATTAATTTACAGCACCACAAAATGTAGAAAATTGCATCTTTGATCAAAACACAGCATTTCGCCACACTGTTTTATAGTTATTGTGTCCGGTCTTGATAGGAGGTCAGCTTGTCAAATACAGAATGACTGTGAAGAGACTGTTCAAACCCCAGAAGAACCACTCTCAGAGGAAGTGCACAAAACACATGGAAAGCAGTGCTCAACAAAACTGTCAGTGGAGCAATTCAGCTTTGGTGATGCAAGGAGGGGGATTCTTTGGCAAGCCTGTTTTCTGTTTCATTTCTGTACTTTCAGAATTATGTGTAGACTTTAAGTGTCACTTGGATGCAAAATCTGAATGCATTTTATCTCAGAAAATATGCAAAAATGGCAGAAATACCTTTAAAAATGACTTAAAGTAGGTTTTTTTTTATTATTTCAGTCTCTGCCACAACCACAGTTTTTCAATATGGCCTTCAAAAAACTTATAATAATATCATAATTTTTCACTAATTTTGCCAGACACAGAAGTATTTAGAGCTGTGCTAGATACAAAAGATGTTTTTTGTGTTTGTTTTTGGTAAAGGGGATATTATCCAAAATATAAACATAGGCATGCCTAAACAGGACATGCTTTTAAAAGCAAAGCAAAGCTGCATAAACAGGATTACCAAAACTTCCCCCGATAAAGTATAAAAAATATTCCATAATACTCACAATCAGCTGATGCTAATGTTGACAGTTGTCTGTGCTATGGGCCAAGTATAGACAGGATTGAAGAGGGTCATTTGTATGGATCAACTCAAATCCAAAATACCAAACAGATTCCTCAACTTATATTTGAATCTCTATTTTTTCCTCAAACACTAGGACTTTGTGTTTGTCTTTAAAGTTTGATCCTTTTGAGTTTCTGTTTCTCTTTGTGTCATTCAATCCTCATTCTGCTCGAATGTGCACAGTTTAGAATTTTCACTCTGTTCCTTCTTCCCTCATTAGTAGCAGGTAGTTTCCAAAGTTACGTATTGAGACGGAAATCTCTGCTTCCTCTGTAGTTTCCATCTGAGGTCACTGTTCGCCACTGACCCTCTTCCTTCTTGTTTCAAGTGCACAACTTGAGCAATGCAAGTGCAAGATAAAAGTGTGTCTGTGTGAAAGAGATAGAAAGAGACATATTCTAACTATCAGTCTGTCTTTTTTCCAGGAGGCTTCGGTGAGTGGTCACCATGGCACCCTTCCTGCGTATCGCTCTCAACGCTTATGACGTGGGCGCTCTGACTCCTCTGACTGACCCTCCCATCTGTGCCGTCAAGATGAAGGAGTCTGTCAACACAGGTATGTATGGATGCATATGTGTGCAATTATATTGTTATTTAGACAGAAAAGTATCGCAGTAAGTAGAGAGAGCAGACGTCCGAAGTTTAATTGCCTTAACAGTCACCATCTGCTGGGCTCAAAAGTCCACAAGCAGACTGACTCTCCACCGACTCCAGGGGCTTTGTGCTGTAGTCATTTCTGTGCTGTGACTTCCCTGAGGCAGGGACAGTAAAATACACTTTTTGTACCAGATTGTGATACTAATGTCCTTTCACAGAGCGAGGAAAGACCTTGGTTCAGAGGAAGCCCACCATGTATCCCGCTTGGAAGTCCACTTTTGATGCTCACGTCGTTGACGGGCGAGTCATAGAAGTGGATCTCATGCAGAGCACTGAGGAGCCATTGGCCAAGGCTACAGTGGGTGTGTCTGTGCTGGCAGAACGCTGCAAGAAGTCAAAAACCAGTGGACGTGCTGAGTTTTGGGTGGATCTGCACCCTTCAGGAAGGATTCAGATGGCTGTGCAGTTTTTCCTGGAGGACATTGATGCAGGTAAAGGTTGTACAACAAAAAGCCCCTGAAAACATGGTTCCAAATCAGTAGGGTTTTTCTATCCTTCCAGGAACAACCATTTATATCCATTTAACAGTTTACCAGTCAAAAGCTGTCTGTCTATCAATCACTGTGTGATTGATTGTGTGTGTAACCGTAACAGCAATAAAGATTCAGCTGCAGTAAATCATTAAATGTCCCTGTCAGCCATGAACATCTGTCAGCTGTCTCACCGAAATGGAATGCAGCCCTTACTAATGCTGTCAATTACACCTGCGCTTTTCATCCTGTGACACGTCAAAATTTCTGCATTAAAAAAAAGTCAATTTAAAGTTCGATTTTAATACCTAGATTTAAATTCCCAGACTTACATATGGACTCAACAGTAATAGGTGTTTTTCATGGCAGACATATGAACATGCCACAGATGGTAAAGCACAGGTGTGAAAAAAAGAACAAAAATGTGGCTTCCATTTTAACTGCTTTGGTTTCAGCGTTCATGCATCATGCGTGCTGCCACACCGTCACACTTTAAATGAAATGAAAACATTCTTAATGTTGTCAGTTCTATACTTTTCTTCCTGTGACACATCAAAATATCTGCAGAGAAATACCCAAACTGAAATGCAGAGGCTTCAAGTCTGCTCTGATAGGTGTTCTTCATGGTAGACATGTGAACATGTCACAATGACCCCACAAATGCCAAACTTTGGCAGCAAATTGTTTTGTTTTCAGAAATCATTGCTTAAAGTGGGTGGATTAAAAAAACAATGTTCCCTGACCGGGAATCGAACCCGGGCCGCGGCGGTGAGAGCGCCGAATCCTAGCCACTAGACCACCAGGGAGAGGTGCAGTGTGTGAAATAGGATACCCTGCTCCCCAGAGTTGGTGGGAACAAACTTTCTCCCCCCTCTTCTTTTGCCCCATTTTCTCCTCTCACACTCTCATGTGTCATCCCTCAGAAAATTACTCTCCATCAGAGTTAACATTGCCCTCTGCAGGCAGTAATGCTTATTCACTAGGGTGTTGATTGGCCTTCTTTTGCTGCACGTTTAGCAAGTTTATCACTGCATGTCTTAATGAGGACTGTGGAGTTGACATGCTCCAGACTGACTGCCTTGAATTTATTTGTCTCTGTCAAGCTGGTAAAGATAAATTAGTATGCTGGTTTCATATTGCATGTTAAGCTTGTCAGTTGACTACAGGTGTGGCAATACAGCCAATGTCCTGTAGACACGCCCTCAGTGTCGTAAAGGAATTTGGTCTCGTGGCTGGCTGTACTTGCTGTGACAAGAGGTGTAAATGCATCTTAATACACTGTACTGATGAGTTCAGTAGGACTTAGGTTTAGCAAACATGTACAGTGTGTAGTAGGTCTGTTTCATCTTATTTTAATCTCTCCTGAGGAGTTTTAGATCCCTGGTGTCTTAACAAAAGGAAAACATTCAATCATTGGTTGTTTTTTTATGTGAATAGGCCTCTTAAATGTAATAAATCGCGGCACAAATTATCCACATTTGGCAGCTCTATTTTACCATTATATGCTATTCTAGTGAGCCTCCAAAGACCTATTTTAATTTCACTTCAGCTGGTAGAAGCAGAAGTGATGCAGAGCAGCACTGGCTTGCAAATGCTGTATTCAGGCACAGACTACTGTAGGAGCCTAGACAGGGAAGCCACACAGACGGCACCGGGTGAGATTTCCAAACTGGTTTTGCGTAATGGGAGTTTCTGTGTGGGAGTAACACAGACGGGGTTCACTGTTCCGGCTTGGAGAGGGTCGTGGGGTGGGGGTCACTATTATGAAAGCGCTCCATACTCCATCAGCTTCCTCCTACACACTCCACAGGTTTCCTGAAAAGCAACCCGGAGTATTTTTAGGCATGTGTGAACAGTCCTCAGCGTTGTCTGCCTCCTCTGTCTGTTTCTCTCTCACTCCCACTTTCTTGGCTCGGGTTACTGAAGCACTGTCCAAACATAAACATCTGTCAGGAGAGTGGCAGATTGGAAATTAGTTTATCTCCCACACCTCATCAGTCTTCCCACTTTTCCCCGTCTATCAGTTGTCTCATTAAGGCTACTCCTGTTTTGAATTGTCCCTGTATCTCCCCCCTCTTCCTCACATCCACCACACCCCCCCTGTGTCTTCCAGAGTTTCTGCTTTCTTTGTTTACCTCTCTCACGCCTCTTTCCCTGTCTTCCCTGAGTGACTGTTGACCCCCGCCCTTTTGACTTGCATCAGTTAGGGCAGCTTATCCAGGAGGGCTTTTTTCAGTGTATAGGCTTCATTTAGCAGCAGCTTCTCTGGCTCATAAGGCTTTTGTTATGAAATACTGCCTGGCTGTCAGAGGTGATGACTGATTTATGACAATACCCACTGTGACAAAATGCGATGAATATCAATATAGCTCATATGGTAGATTGTTATAAAAAGAAAAATTTAAAAAAAGGTTAAATGAATAATTAACAAGACTACGACCTTCTCTCCCTGATGTCACTTTTATTTGTCTTTCAAAACCATCTAAAAGTGGATTTGATTCACATTTAAGAGCAAGACTGTTTGACAAATGTGATCTAGTCTGTAGATTTGAATAGAAATACAATGATTTGATTTGTAAATATGTCTCTCCCCTCAGTTTCGTGTAAGTCATCAGTGAAGGTTTGTCCTGAAGATGGAGCCACGACCCTCAACAGGAGGAGAGGAGCTTTCAAGCAGCCCAAGGTTCATTTTATCAAGAACCACGAGTTCACCGCCACCTTCTTCGGCCAGCCCACCTTCTGCTCTGTCTGCAGAGAGTTTCTCTGGTGAGCCGGCAAACTCCAGCCTTTGTTACATGACAGCTGCCACCATTATGCCACTAAAATCTTCCAACACAGTGACTTTCAGTACGGTTTGAGTATCTGTTAAATTCCAGCTAGAGACTATGGATGTATTTCTGATTCCTCTCTATTTAGCCATGACTTATCCAAATGCAGTTAATTTGCTTGTCTGCTTGTTTTTCTATATTATTGTTATTATTATATTATTGTGGTTTACTAAAATGCTGCTGGCATAGCTTTGACATTTCTTGACCATTTGTCACCTAGTGTATTTACTGTGGGTACCAAATAAGACAAAACATCAGTTGTTCAGTAATAGTAATATAAAAAAAAAGTCCAGCCCTACCAAGTGTATTTCTCAAAAGATCAATTAGTAGTGATTCTAGCTTCCTAGCTGGAGCAATTATGGAGGGGTGGGGGTTATGAAAGGTAGAAACAACTGCAGCAGTGCTATTGTGAGAATGAGTCACTGTCTAGGGAAATCCCACAAGGCTGTCAAGCTGTATTCCAACTATGTCAGCAGCACTAATCTGTGAGCCAAGCTCCTCCCCATCTTCCCAAACTACAGTATTATCTCTCCCTTTAGACACGGGCAGGAGGAAATCTGACGTTTTGTTTAGTCTGTGCATGGGTGTGTGTGTGTGTGACACAATGGCACTTACGCCATCTATAAAGCATAGATATTTTTTATAGCTTTTTAATTTCAATCTAATGACCTAAGATGTAAAAGATACCATCTAGTTATGCTGATAACAAAATGTAATACCACTGAGTCACTGCTATGTAAGTATGCATGCTATTTAGTAGTTGCTGTATGAAGGAAGAACGTTGATACAGAAAATCATTTTCTTGCCTACTGAAGTGTATCACTGTCAAACCTAAGATCCTAGTATGGATATTAATCATCCTGGGGACATTCCATGAATGTAGTATTAACAGATAAATCTTTCTTAGAGTTTTTTTTTGCAAATGTTACATATGGCAAGCATTTAACTTTTCTGTTCCTTTCCTCCTATGTAGGGGGCTCAACAAGCAAGGGTACAAGTGCAGGCGTGAGTGTTTCTTTAATTGTTATCCACATTTTTAACACAATTTATTTCTTTTGCACATTTTTACCTTGAATTAATCTTCATATCACAGTTAACACAATATTTTGTCTTTTATTTCACCCAGAATGCAATGCGGCAATCCACAAGAAATGCATCGAAATAATCATCGGCAGGTGCACCGGAACAGCGGCCAACAGTCGTGACACTGTGGTGAGCAAAGTGAATGTTCTCCAACATATATGCAAAACTTGGCCTCAAATCCGCCACTGACGATGAAGGGCATTTTGTTTTACAGTGTTATTTTTTTTACTTTGTATTTTTTTCAGCTATGGTTCACTGGTGACTTGCTGTATATTATAAGTTCTGTGCTGGTATAAAGTAGCTCATTTTAAACTAATTTAAACAAAAACCCTACAAATGTTTTATGAAGTCAAAGCTCTAATTCTTCAGCACAACTGAATACTGATCTAAACAGGTAGAGCCAGACCCAACACGTGTTAAACTATTGGCTGTGAAATTTTATTCTGACTTGCGAAAGCAACAACTCTGGCTAACCATATAATCCTGCATGTTTATATTGTAATCATAAGATACCAGCATTCTGTGGGTTTAATGTATTTCTGTGTTTGTAGTTTCAGAAAGAACGTTTCAAGATTGATATGCCTCATCGCTTCAAGTACTACAACTACAAGAGCCCCACGTTCTGTGACCACTGTGGCAGTCTGCTGTGGGGTCTCTACAGGCAGGGCCTTAAATGTGAAGGTGAATCTAATGTGTCCTTTGTTTTTACTTTGACTGTATCAAATTCAATATCTGCCTTTCTCTTGCCCCTGCCACTGACATTTTTCTTTTTTTGATGCATTCCCCATCTCCATTGGACTCACCCACTTTCCCTCCGCTGACCAGATTGTGGCATGAACGTACATGGCACCTGTCAAACGAAAGTGGCCAATCTGTGTGGAATCAATCAGAAGCTACTGGCTGAGGCTCTCTCTCAAGTCTCCCAGGTTTGCAACACAACAGGCTATGTTTGTGTGGACTATGTGTAAAAAAAATAGTAACAACAATGATTTATTATGGATGTCAAAATTTTTTCTGCAAACGATTTTCTTCTCCAGAAATCTATGAAGAAGCCTGATAACTCTGGTGGAGACATTGGAATCTATCAAGATGTCCGAAGTGCAACAGCGGACCCTAGTGGTACGATGTGTTCATTGTAGCACTGAGTGTGCCTCTAAATGTTCAATTTCAATAAAGTTTTTACCTTTGAGGTTAAATCAGTTGTGGTATTGTCAATGATCGCCTGTTTAGCTACTTTTTCATTATCTTAAATTTTTATCCTTTGTTTTTTGTGTTTGCATGCATCTTTGCATACAGGTTTGCATATTTATTTACTCAAGAGTGTGCAAATGTGTATTTACAGCCGATGACAACGGGAAGGGCTCGCGACCTGCCCCAACCCCAACTACAGTTTCCCGGGTACGCCTCACCCTCAACCACCTGGTGTTCCACAAGGTGCTGGGAAAAGGCAGCTTTGGCAAGGTATGACTCATGGTCTGCATCTTCAAATCCTTTCATAACTTTAACATAAAACAAAAGCCACTGCACAAACTCGCCTGTGCAAATGATGTTACTCATAAAAATCTAATTCAATCTGAAATTGTCCCCATGCTGAATAGAACATTGGAAATGGCAGTGAGGTAGGCAGAAACAAATGATACGGCACGTCATATGAAGCCCATATCTTCATATTCTAGGCAGTTTAAAGCGTGAAGATTTTTGAAATTATGAAATGTGAATTCTAATACAGCCCGCAGTTGAAGGGCATGTCTTAGTGTGCTAGTGCTATCAAAGTATATTACTTCCTTAATTCACATTTTAATTCACACAGCAGCTTTAGCTTGCCCCATTTTTGATCAACTAGGCTAGATAACTTACTAGAAAAATACATCCCCCAGCTGCCTCTGAAATTACTTCCCTCATATTACACTTGGAGCGGATGATGTATTTCAGACGAGAAAAGAGCTTAGTTGTTCATCTGCCACTATAAATGCCAGGCAACATTTGATGAAAACATACCATTATCTGAGGGAAACAGGGCACGGAGGCCAAGAATTGCGCTCAAACATCGAGTGTCCATACAAACATTGCTTATGTTAAACTAAAATTATACCCCATAAAGCTCATGTGATCACACTAATGAAGTACTGACTGTTATGTGGCTGTGACACCCAGGTGCTGCTGGCAGAGCTGAAGGGTCAGGGTCAGTACTTTGCAGTGAAGGTTCTGAAGAAAGATGTCGTGCTGATGGATGATGATGTGGAGTGCACCATGGTGGAGAAACGTGTCCTGGCCCTCGCCTGGGAGAACCCTTTCCTCACTCACCTCTACTCAACATTCCAGTCTAAAGTAAGCACACACATGCTGAACATGGCTGCAAGTAAAACATATAATATATACACTGTTCTCTGATTGTGAATCAAGCCAGGTTACAGCCGAAAGAGTGTCAGTTCCCAGCTGTTGATAGAGACCCACAGTTTCAGCCCACCTTATCTAAATCCATCGTTTCTCTCACACACTCTCTTCGTGTCTCATTTGTGTCTGACATTGAGCTGACAGTAATGTGTTGTTTGCACAGGAGCACCTCTTCTTTGTAATGGAGTACCTGAATGGAGGCGACCTGATGTTTCACATCCAAGAGAAAGGCCGCTTTGATATCAACAGAGCTACGTAAGGGCACTAGGATACCATGTAAAGAGCTACAAGTGTTGCAGCAATTGCCATTTTCTGAAATGGAACATTTGGGTCTTAATCGTAGTAAAATCGTGTTAAATGGTTGGTTGGTTTCTTAACCTACAGATTCTACGCTGCTGAGATTGTAGTGGGACTGCAGTTCCTCCATTCAAAAGGAATTATCTACAGGTAATAACTACTCTGTACTACTGTGTGTTGTTTCTGTATTCAGCCTGCTACCACAGGAGAGCTCTTTTATTTTACATTACATGACTTCAAACAGAATACACTCAAGCAGAACAAGTTCTACATTCTTTGTATCTTGTTTCATGTCTTTCTGCAGAGATCTGAAGCTGGACAATGTGATGCTGGACAGGGACGGACACATAAAGATAGCAGACTTTGGCATGTGTAAAGAGAACGTGTTTGGAGAGGCCAGAGCCACCACTTTCTGTGGAACACCAGATTATATCGCACCAGAGGTTCGTTGCTCAGTGTCACATTTTGTGTTGTCATAAACCAATTCTCCATCATATTTAAAACTAATGACTTATGCAATTGTATTTGAAATATTTTTCAGTTAAGCTCCTTATTCACCTACCTTTGCATTCCTCAATTTTTCCACATGCATGAGTCTATATGCCCCCTGGTGGCTGCAAGGAGGCAATGCAGCGTGTACAGATTACCCTAAACCGGGGTTATTAAGTTGTTTTATCTCTGCAGTTATAGTCAACAACAAGAGGATGTTTCTTACCTGTGACCCCATGTGTCCTTGTACTTCTTACATGCCTCTGATATTGTTGAATTGTCTCTTATCTCAGATCCTGCTAGGACAGAAGTACACATTCTCAGTGGACTGGTGGTCTTTTGGTGTGCTGGTATACGAGATGCTGATTGGTCAGTCACCTTTCCAAGGGGACGATGAGGACGAGCTGTTTGAATCAATCAGGTCGGACGTCCCTCACTACCCTCGGTGGATCACCAAGGAGTCCAAGAACCTGCTTGAACTGGTGAATAATTAGCGTTCTTTGGCACCCCTATATAGTCCTATTGTCTCACCAGCAAACATATTTGTGTTGTTTCTGTAATAAATTGAGTTGTCTTCTGTCATTAATTCAGTTGTTTGAGCGAGATCCCACTCGCAGACTGGGTGTGGTGGGAAACATCCGTCAGCACCCGTTCTTCAAAGTCATCAACTGGCCAGTGCTGGAGAGGAGAGACGTGGACCCTCCTTTCAAGCCTAAAGTGGTATGAGTGTTTGATTTCATTCCTACTGTGTGGTACCAGTTACTGCTCTTAATGAAAATAATGGCTTTGCGTCTAACATCCCGATTACCTCACCCCCTTTTTACTTGTTACTTAAACCTAACTGAAATCCCTGACCTGCCATCCACAGAAATCCCCCAGTGACTGCAGCAACTTTGACCGAGAGTTCCTGAGCGAGAAGCCGCGTCTCTCCCATGCTGACAAAAACCTCATTGACTCCATGGACCAAGCAGCATTTGCTGGCTTTTCCTTTGTCAACCCCAAACTGGAAAACTTGATAAGCAAATGAAACAAACAAAATGGCGTCCTTGGAAACATGGTCTTAGCTCAGAACTCCAAAATAGACTCTTAACCTATTACCTTCATCTCCATGTGGTCAACTGGGTTTAAGGTTAACTGTCTCAACTATACAAGTGTATAAAAGAGTGTAAAGCTTCAGGAAAGTAAGGGAGACTCTTAAGAAACCAGTGTTACCATAATCAATGCTGGGAGGGTAGTGGATGATGCATTCAGTCTTTTGTTACCTTTCTGTCATTTTTCCATGTGATTACACTTTAAATCTATATCAATCATTCAGTGTACTGTATCGTGAAATTTTAGTTCACAGGCAGAAGCATGACACTCTTATTTAAATATATATGTATATACGCATACACCTGGCATCACACATGCAAGGTAAGAGGGTGGAGTGGTACAAACGAAATTGACTCTCACCCTGTGTACTGTCAACTGTATGACTCCCAGCACATCCCATCTGTGTGTGCTGTGTCGTACAGCATGCATACAAGAGTGTGGGTGTGTGCAGGTATTTTCTGTAGATGCAAATGGTGCTACTGAAGCCAGTAATATTGTCCGTTGGCGTACGAATCTTCTGCTAGTCCAGGCACCACAGAATGAATTGTACTATAAAGGTGAAGTGAATTTAAATCCTTCTGATTTAATAATAATTAATCATTTCCTCCCTCGCTGACTGCACTGTGAATCTGGAGATGTATTTCCCAGAGCGTCACACTCCTTTAAAAGAGATAATCTGTCTTTTTAAATTAATTATGGATGGTAGCAGTCTTATTGTCTTTCGTGCATCAAACCTCTATTCTGTATCGTTCTGTAAATAACATACATTTTCCGGACACTCATCAAACTTCCTGTAAAGAGTTGCAGCAGTGGTGTGGTACTATACCTGTACATCTATATGTGTTGAAGGATATTTTTAAAGGGGGGAGGGGTATTTCACTGTAAGCACACATCTTTATTATGTCGTATAATACTTGAATGTAGGAATTTTAACGTGAAAATAATAGTGCTCTGTACAAAAAAAAGAAGATGTATGTTACTATAAGTTGTGGGTGTACTTTTTTACTCTCCTCATCTTTTACATTTGATTCTAAATAAATGTAATGTAAATTGAAAATTCACGACAGCTGTTGTCCACTTTAATCCGCTTTGCATTCCAGTTACATTTATTCGAGATGATCAACATTTGGCACTATTGTAAAGACTCATGTATCATGGAGATTCAGTACCAATCACTGTTCACTTTTTGTTTTTATTTCCCCCTCAAGGCCAGATTACTGTAACTCTCCGAACGTAAGTTTTGGTCAGTCCTCACTGTCTCACCTTGCAAGACTTCTGTTACCAAAAAAGAAAATAGAAAGCATTACTCCTTGTAGTAGCATCCCTGCACTGGCTACCTTTTTAAATACAGAATTGATTTTAAGCTTCTGTTATTTGTTTATAAATCCGTGCTTGGCTTGGCACCTTTTGAACTCGTCTGCCCTCATACCTCCAGGCCTCGTCGATCCTCAGAACAACTGCTGTTATTGAGGCCGGTGGGTAAGAGAAGATCGTGCCTTTGTCGTAGCAAAACAAATATCATGATGTCCCTGTTTTCAAAGGCTTTTGATTGCTTTTAATTGTATTAGTATTTTAATTTCCAAGTTTCTTTCTTGTTTTGCCTTATTCTAAGTAGTTTATTTTTCAGATAGCGTATGTAATAAGTCTTGCTGTAGGTGCCCATCTGTAAACATTAACAGCAATCTGGTCACCTCAGGTTGTTTTATTTGATTTGATTACATTTTATGGAGCCTACACATTGTAAAGTGAAGCACAGAATAGGAGAAGCCCTGCGTGAAGCCAGCAGAGCATTTCCAAACACCACAGGGACTTTTATTTTTTGTTAGTATGAGAGAAGGACCTGTGACGCTTTACTGCCACCCAGCGGTCAGGTGCTCGAACTGCAGCTCCCCGTCAAGACGAGAGGCGAGGAGGAGACATTCTTGCAGCGCGCACGCCTTTATGACCCGTCCTCGTCCTCTGTCCCCTCCAGTGTCCCCACACTGTCCCTGCAGCGTGCCCACTGGGAACAAACAGCTGTCAGGAAGCTACACCGAGAGGGAAAAAAAACAAAACAAAAACCTGTTCAAGTTGTTGAGAGATTTGCCTTTATGCAAACAGCCTTAAGCCCGATGCAGCATTAAAGTTGTAGGCCATTTTTTATTTTGTAAATAAAATGACCAAACACAGTTGATAAATTAAATTTGCATGCTCCAAAAAAAAGGAGAAAAAGATCGTCTTTTCGAACTGTGTATTTACTAAAATCCAAATATTAGTGCCCCATTGGAAAGCTTCACAGTGCAGGCACCTCTGCACTTTAATAAAAATGACTGAATAAATTTGGGAATAAACGCCTGCCCCCTCCTGATTTATTCATGGCTCTACGATTGTTTCCACTGTTCACGCAAGATCCGATCGCTTTTCTGCAGCCAACATTTATTGTATTGTTTCCACCTGAGCGCATGCAAAAAAAAAAGAAGAAAAAAAAACCCCGCGTATATATATATTTTTTTTTTCTTTTGTTATAATAGACATCCAAAAGGGTCGGTCTATTGTGGAGGCTTATGTGAGGCAGTAGCCTATATGTGTTCCAAGTGAGCGGCAAAATCTGTTTTAGACAACGGATTAGGCTTGAAGACTTGAAGGGAGGCTTTGCGAAACGAGGAATGCACTTACTTCGCAGAGAAAGCGCGTTTATTATATGAAATGGATGGACTTTTGCACACAGTGTCAGCGCATATTTCCAGCAGTTTCTCCCGCCCTGTCTTCCAAAATAAAAAAAAATAATAAATAAATAAATAAAACAACGCGACTTGACATCCTTGTGCAGCAGAAGTAGCGAAGCAGCAATGACAAATAGATGTTTTATCCAGTCCTTATGATAGGGCGGTGTTGTGATTTATTTAAAAGTACTGGCACAGGCAGCCCTCCATAGCGCATTGTGGGGGTATTTTATTTACTTAAGAAATATTACACTGAAGGGAAATAAAGCAACTCGAGGTCATCTTCAATAACACAATCTATATACCACTTCATCACAAGACGAATTGCTTTTTTTTTTTTGGGAGCCAGAGAAACACTCCACTTATCGAAAGTGGGTCGATTATATGTGCAATTAATTCCAGCTCAACCATTAACTAAGTGTTGATTCCGCTGGGGATAAAGCCCCTGTGCTCGTCTGATCGGGCTCACCCTACCCCTTGTTTATGGGAATTAACGCGAGCTTGAAACACTCCGATTTTTTTGATTTTTTTTCTCTCTCTCTCTCTCTTCTTTTGTGCGTGTTGTGGATTTTTTTTTTTTTTATTTTTTTTTTTTTTAGTCCTGACTCTGGTTGTGTAGTGTTTTATTGTGTGTGTGAAGATGGAAGTCAGTGTGATGTAGCCAGGCTCAGAGGCATATAGGCGGCAGAACATGCGCAGTGGCCGTTTGTGCCATATTGGAATGAGGTCGTGAACGAGAAGTGCGTCAAGTTAACGCGAGGCAGCGAGAAGAGCCGCGGTTTGACCCTCGACAGGAAAAGCACCGCCGGTTGCCCGGACGACGGAAGTAACGCCGCTTCCTCCCGCCGTCTTATTTTGAAAGGCTCCGCCGGGGCTCCTGCTTCCTGTTAGCGCTAGCTTCACGCTGCTACGAGCCAGCAGGCGGAGAGGAACGGCATCTAAAAACCGACTTGGAAAAACTACTTAGCGGTAAGGGGCGAATTTTGCGACTAAATATTCACATGCTCCGTGTTGTTTGTCACAAATTGCTAGCGGTGTTTTGTATGCTGGTGGCGCATTCGTCTTTTTTCCCGTCTCTCAAAAAGAGGTTCGGTCGAGTGTAAGCGCCCTTATTGCTCGTCAGCCTGCTCTCTTATTGCTCAAAGCCGTGACGTTCAGTAACTTGACTCGGACACAGGCGATGTTACCATGTGTCCACGGAGTCCCACACGGCCGCTACACGCACAGGACCGAGGTTTTATTCGCCGGACGGGCAATTTCGATAATTTTCCCCAAACGGTACGCGTCACGTTGGGCTCAGTGTGAAAGTTAAGGCGCTGTAGTGGCTCTCTGCAAAGCCATTGCGTTGATGGCCCATCTCTGTTTCTGAATGCTGCGGCTCGTCTGGACGAGCGGTGCAATCTTAAGCTAGTTACAGTTCAAGGATTTGTGTGGAAATTTCCAGTGATTTGCCCTTGAATAACTCAGTGTATTTATAATATCTTTGGAGCTTACATAATGAAGGTTGCACGACCTCAACCGATTTTTTATTTTTTTTTTCCTGAGCTGCTATCGTCAAACAGGCTACACAAACTAATTGCTATTTCTTTCAAAAACCCGCCTCATAAAAACAAAACAAAGCTGAGGGATGATGCCCGCCATGATATTATTATTCTGTTGTTGTCACATTCCAGGTTGCACTTAATGCAAACCTACCAGCTATTCTTCTGGCCCTTAACTTCCCCATTGTGCAACTTGAGGGATCCGCTGGCAGCGCAGCTCCGGTTTGACGTGCCGCTATGCAATGACAACCAGCAGCGTTTACTGCGACTGAGTGGAGCAGCTCAATGAAATGAACGTTATTTATGCGAGAGAATGTGCATTTTTTCCCATTTGTCTGAAGTTGTTGGACAGATTGCTGGTTATTAATCCCTTGAGCAGGCTAACTTTTATTAGTGCAGCCCTTTTGTTGCCAGCTGTAATGCCCATATTACACAAGTTGATGTCCAGAAGTAGGGTTGCGCGATATTGGAAGAAAAAACAACATTGCGATGTTTAGTTTTTCAGCAATATATATCGCGATATTTTCAAAAAAAATAATACAGGAAGTTTTCACCAGATGACTCTAGTGGGAAATAATGTATTATTGTAGGATAATTTGGGTGGTTTTGTAGGAGAGTGCATCTGTATCAAAAATGAGTAATAATCTTAAAAAAGAACTTTCTCGTACAGGTTTTTGCTCTGGGTGGCGTTCATTCATTCTGACTTGCACTCATCACACAGAGCTTTTGTGACTCTCATTTAAAGGGTCCAACAGATTTGTTGTGTCATCTCGTGCTGACAAAGGGCCTGTTTCTGATCAACATTATCCTTTCTGTGGCTGAGATATTTCCATACGATTGATGTGTGTCTTTTTTGAAAGCAAATCTTCCTTTTCAATATTTCTCTCCTGTTCCTCGCTCATTATGTCGTGCACATGTGGAGCCTGCATGTCAACAAACTGCATGTATCCAAGAAGGCTTGAATCAAAGTAAACTGTGTTATCAGATAGGCTTCTCTTGAAGATCGCTCATTGAAAACGAGAACTGTGCAAGTTTTGTGGCAAGCAAAAAAAAAAAAGTTGTCGCATGATGTGTTTAAGGTTTATTGCTATTGCATCTGCGCACATCGCGGTGTTGTTGTTGAAATTATGTATTAGACAGCCCTAATTTGGAGTTGTTTAACCCTCCTATAACCTTCAAATTTACTGAAATCTTTTGTCCTTTTGTTCAATTTGACTCCAGCAATTTAAACCTCCAGAAAATTGTCATAAATAAAATTGTTACCCAAGTTTATGTGTAAATAGCCCTTTAAATAAAACAGAAAAAATTATGTCAGTCACTTATTTAGACATGTTAAACATTGAATGGGGTCAAATTGACCCCAAAGATAATAGGAGGGTTAAATTGCCATGGGAACTGTGAGATGAAGTGTTAAAGGAAGCAACCTGCTCCTCAATCATTCATGTTTTGATTTGAGTTTATCATTTTCAGATGAGTTTAAACCTGCTTCCACCTTTAAAAGGGGCATTTCACCTAAATTCCAAAAAACAAGCCATTTTCTCTCTCACCTTTGACCCCAATGAACTATAAACCAGATTGTATTGGTGTTGTGGAGCAAAGAGACGATCAGTCCGATGTTTCTGCCACTATTATAGTGCAAAAAACACATTTGAAACAGCACATCTTTCCATAAATAATGTCCGTTTTAATTAATATAATTCACAGTTTTGACTGTAAACAGGTTTAATGGTAACTACTTCTCACCAAACAGTTAGTTTCTGGGGAAAAGTGTTGAAAAATGACTTCTGGCGATTGTTTGGAGTTGCATTTTCCCGGAGAGACATATTGTTGCTGAATATTTTTGGACGTAATATTTCAAGCCTGCGAACGCCACAAATAAAAAATGTTGTGCTTTCCTTCGAATTGAGGCGAGGACGTGCATTGAACCACAAAACCAAAACACTACCAGTGCAATCTGTTAGCATCTAGTGGTGCAAATTCATGTCACAATTCATGGTTTCACAAGTATGCAAAATGAAAGAAAAACAAATACATGTTAGGTTATTGATTTTTGTATTGTTTTTGTATCTTTGATCACAGTTTGGTTCAGTGCAGTAGTTGCATTTCCATGTTTTCTTGAGAGAACAGAGTTTAGGACTAGAGTTTGTTTTTTTTAATGGTTGATATCAGTGGACACAAAAACACAAACTCCAACCCGGAACTTTGTTAAAGTACGTATTAGGTTGCAGATTTTCCTGTTACCACCTTCCACATTACTGCTCATAATGTGAAGTCATCTACTGGTCCTCGGCAGATGCAACCGAGAGGTGTTTGGTTTGAAAATGTCCAGCAGCCAATCTCATTTTATTGGAAGTTGTTTTCTAGAAAAGCTGTGCTGCCTGCGAAAGTCTACTTTGTCATGTTGCATTTCCTCACCATGCTAAAAAATGCTCAATGGCATGCTAAGTGCTGATGAGACTATGATTCAGTAAGTGCTGAGAAAGGGGATATAGCGAGGATCTCAGTTGTCTCGGAGTGCTTGTTTGCGTGTGTGTACATCGGCGTGGGTGTGCGCTCGTTTGGCCCTTTCTCTTTCAGGTTCAGTCAGACTCTCTGGTGGCAGACAGACTCGGGCAGACTGCTGCGAGCTGTGGTCCACACAGGCCACTTACTGTATATGAAACAGGGGAAGTTGCTTTTCTTCCTGTCTGCCTGTGCGAGCCGAGGCCATGCGGCAGAAAGCCCCAACATCTCACGCAATCGAATGCGTCAGAGCAAATCATGAAAGCTTTTCTTTTGAAATCTTTTTTTTTTTTTTTTTTACAAAGATAGACGACCAGGAGTGTTGCGAGCAATATACCACTTAGAAACGGCACTCAAACAAAGGCGCTGTTTTATTTGGTTGATTCGTTTTTATCTTGTTTGAGGTGCATCAGAAACATTCGCAGCTTAGAAAAGCAGTGAATTTAGTATAGACGGTGGCCCCGTGAGTTTGGAGGCATCAGAAGTGCAAAATCTAATCAATTTGAATCCTTCCATGACTTCATAGTGTTTAAGCTCAGCATAGAATATAGCTTCTTAACTTCAGGTCTGTATTTCTACTCCTATCTGCGCTGCTCTTTTTTTTTTTGGTGTGTGTGTTAGGAGTGTGACACCCCCCCTCCCAGGACAATGAGGCCCTCTGGATGTGTGTGTCGGGTGGAGGAAGGGGGAGAAAGACCAGGAGGGGGGGGAGTCTGGGGCAGGGTCACGGGTGAAAGGCGGCACTGATCCCAGGCGGAGCGCGGGGGTCGCAGTGGCAGTCCGGTGTTCGGGAGGGGGGGTGGCTTCTGCCGGTTTTAATAGAGACGTCAGATGTGACAAAGACGGGCCTGACAGGGCGACTGAATGGAGCTGCGGTGACAGAGCAGCTCTCCTCAGCATCCCCATACAGCACGCTCTCCACTGTCGTCACGCCCAGCGCTCCCTTCGCCCTCATTCATGCCACCTCTCTTGTTGTATTAACTTTATTTCATCTGCTTCCAAACAATGCTGTGGGTCAGTTTCATGTGTCAGAGTTTGACGTGCGTCCACATTCACGTCAGGGCCAAGGGGGGAAAAAAATAAATAAAAGGCTCACGATTTTTAAAAAGATGAGTTTCACAAGTGAGGCTGCGTGAGATTAGCATAGTTTCATATATTTTCCAGCTATCACATACCATCTGGTGTGTTACTTAGGTGGTAAGTCCAGGACCAGATAGAAGCACTTTGAATATTAATGTCTGTAACTTTAGCAAAGATTTGGCAGCTCTATTATCAAGACCCCGGCAGTCCTTGATTTTTAGAACGGCTGAGGGATTCAAACAAATGCAAATGCATTTCTTTTTGGCCTTGGAGCAGAGTTTGCAAATGAAGGCTGTGGGATTTTGTTTGTCTTCAGTCTGCAGTTTGACCCTGTGGTGCAGGTTGTTCTGCCCACAAGATAGTGTCGTGATTTTAATTATCTGTAGCTGTTGGCTGCCATATTGTTTGCCGATAGATGTGAGCTACAGTAGCAGTACGCTGTACTGTAGGTATGCGAGCCAGCCGGAGGAAGCCTTAGCGACTGTTTCCAGCTCTTTGTGTGACTCTTTGCTGATACAGTTTGGCTTGTGCACTGCTGAACAGGCTGTTATAAGGCAGCAGGACCACCTGTCACATCTTAGCGTTGTTCATGTTGAGGTCTACAGATAGTCACAGTAATAGTGTGCTACAAACGACTGGGAGGAGGGGGGTTAAGTGCAGTACAGCTACGTTTTCTTGTGTTTGTGGACAGAATTTCAGACTTGATGTGAACCAAGTGTGAATTTTTATAGGGCCAGGACTGATTATTAGATTATTATATCAGTTATTACTAATCGAGAACAACTATTGATAGTGATATACACTTGTAGTAAAACATGAAAATCTTGGTGTCAATATTTAGAATAACACCAACTGTAAAATAAAACTTTGTTGAAATGTGATTGTTTAATTCTAAAAGAACATTTCACCATTTTTTCCGTCAGTATTGATAGGGCCAGTACTAGTCATGTGTCACTAATCATTTAGTGCGGTGAGTGGGACATTGCTTGAGCTTGTAGAGTGGAAAGATGTAGAGTGACGGCTGCATCAGGGCCAAAGTAGTGCAATTTCAAATTAATTTAACTGGATTTGGTTAAAAATAGATAGTAAAACAGATAATCAGAAAAATGTTGGATATCGAATTCGATAATATTTTGCATCCATGCTCTCTCACTTATTAATAACGCTCCGCCTCTGTTCCCTCCCAGAACTCCTAGTCGTGGCCTTAAGGGGGCACCAGCATGAGCCAGGAGACGCTGGAGTCTGGTAAGAACTGCTCTGGGAACAGCTGTGTGAAATGAGTAAGATGAAATGTTGGAAAGCAGCTTGGAAATGGAAAATGTGTTTTGTGCGTTTGTGTGTGTTCCAGATGGAGACTCTGCTCAGGATGTGCCTGACTTTAACTGGGATGATTACCTGGAGGAGACCGGAGCCGTGTCTGTGCCCCATCACAGCTTCAAACATGTGGGTGACAACCTTCACGGCTCACACACATCGTTGGATAAGCTTGTTCATAATCAGTGACTGGGCTTCTGTGTAAAAAATCCTTAAAAACTGTGTATTAAATCTGAAAACACGCTCGAATGTTTGGAATGTGTCGGCTAATAAAGTCTCTAGTAATCTGTAAATGAGCTCCTAAAAACCGCTTTTGTAGCATCCAGTCATAAACGCAGAAGTCAGTGTAGCATCACCGCTTCTAATAGAACAGCAGTTTTAGCACACGAGTTGCAAGCTGGTGGACAGGTTGAGTGTTTCGCACACAATTAGATTCTGTTTGGGGCTTTAGCTGACTTGGTAGGAGGGGGAGCTGCACTCATGCTTTCCTAAATTAGTAAATAATACTGTATTTTAGGTGCTCTACTGCAAATAATTTAACCGGCAAGTACTTTGTCACCAATAAATAATAATTAGGGGCCTCATGGGGAACTAGAGTGTGACGTAAGTCCAGCGGGAAGTCAGCGACTCTCCCTGAGTGTGTGTGTGTGTGAGGAGAAAGCCAACAGAGATGATTAAGTTACTGTAATCAGTCATACGGTGTGTGGATAGGCCAGGATTTCAGAATAACAAGAATGTCAATAAACTAACTTATCAGAGTTGATCTGAATGCATCAGTTTTGGACAAATTTGTGCAGAGGTCTCCGTGATGCCGACCAGTCGCGAGTCACAGATTGATTCTATTCAGAAATTCAGCCAGCTGTCTCCTGAACGGGGAAAAACCAACAACAATCCTTCCTCCTGCGCATGTTTTGATTCAGAGTGTGCGCGGAGATGAGGGGCTGTTCACAGACAGGTCCATTGTTGGTGTGTTTGATAGAGAGAGAGAGAGAGAGAGAGAGAGAGGAGAGAGGTGGTGCAACTCCACAATTAAATAAGATTTTACCAATTGCAAGTAGTAAAAAAAAACAAAAATCAATATGTGGCAGTCAGTGTTGATATTTGCAGGGAGCTGCCACAGATAAATCAATGAATGGGAAACACTGAAGGTTTGTTAGGAATAAAAGAAAACTCTGGTCTTTTCTTTTGTGCCCTTTTGTTTATTTGTGTAACCAGCTGTAGAGTACAATGAACGTGTTTTTTGCTTTTCAATGGGCGTCCCTGTCTCAGGTGGACCAGGGCCTGCAGACAGGACTGACCCCTGGCATGAAGCTGGAGGTCTGCGTGCGCTCGGAGGCCGACAACCCTTACTGGGTGGCCAACATCATCACCACGTGTGGCCAACTGCTGCTGCTACGCTATGAGGGATACCAGGACGACCGCCGTGCCGACTTCTGGTGTGACATCATGACGGCGGACCTCCACCCTTTGGGCTGGAGCCGGCAGCACGGCAAGAGCATGAGGCCCCCTGAGGGTGAGGCATGGCGGCGACCTATTTGATCTTCTTTGAGTTGCGGGAAGAAAAGTTAGAGCTGATTGATCATATGAACCGTGACTGATGTGCAAAGAATCGACCAAGAATAAGTTCCAAATATTATTCTTCCTTCTTAATTAGAACGATTTTGTATTTTTGGTGGGAATTTTAGGAATTCCATTTTAGGTTTTTTTTTTGTCTTTTTATGGCAATGCCTCAGGGGCAGATGCTGTGGTTGGACAGGCTCTGCAGTGAGAGGACACACAGTTTCTCTCTGTGCACACGATGTCAAAATGTAATTTAATGGTCGAAGTCAGCTAAGTAATTGCACTTGTGTGCAGCATTCAGAGTGCTGAATATTTCTGTTCTCCTGTTATGCTGCTGCGAAGGTTCCCCACAGGTGAAACTCTTGGGTTTCCCTTCTGATGTTTTAGTTAAGTAAAAAATCGTTTTGTCTGAAAATGAATAAGCTAAGCACTGAAGTAGTTGCGCTTTTTTTCTTATGTCGTTTTTTTTTTTTTTTTTTTAAATGAATGGTGGCCTTATTATCACCTAGATACCTGCATGTGTGTTAACTTATTGGAACAGGGAACTATTACTGAACAAAACACCAGAACAGCTGAATTACTTAATCTGCCTTGTCAGGGTGTGGTGGATGACACAGATGCAAATTGTTTAGAGTGTGAAATCCTCGTTAGATAAGAAAAAATTATTTGCTTTTTATTATGCAGCTGATGCTATGATTCAAGGTGACTGAATGAGAAAAGTTAGAATGGAAAGTGTGAGATCCTAAGAACCATCTGGTTATTTGGTGAATAAACTAAATGGTGCATGTGAATTATCCACCTCAGGTGTGCGTGAGAAGCATCAGGACTGGGAGGCTCTGCTGGAAAAGGCCTTGGCGGAGGAGTGCAGCGCGCCTGCCAACCTGCTGGAATTGGTAAGGCAGGGATCTGAGAGGCTGTCTTTTTTAGAATCTACTCACACTCAGGGTGTGTGGGGCGTTAACGCTCCTAACGTCGTTTTTTTCTAGACTATGTCTGTGCCAAGAACAATCTCCTCTGTCTACAGATTTGATTTTAAAAAGGCATAACACAGTGGATAGAACTGTTGAGATTGTCACAATCAAGTCAGACTTTGCTTGTTATTGCTTAAGTGGTGAGACAAGTTCAGTAAATACAAGAGACCCAAGAAAACCACCGAGCTGACTGTTTATACCCTCAGGTGATCTCTGCAGTCTTAACACGTGCACATGCACAACAACTGTTTTGTTTCTGATGTTTGTGACCTATTTTTTATTATACTATGGTGTAGATTTAAATCTCCAGGCATTTGCTATGTTTCTAATGCCAGTTATAAAATGATAAAATAGTAGGGGGAAAAACTTAAAATCTTTTATAAAGTCTGGTTTGTGTATCCTGTGTGACGTCTAAAGTCTACAAAGTACAAGGCTCTGAGCTTTTGTTTACACCACCAAGGCTGTACTGCTGAAAGCAAATTCGCTGTAGGAACAGCCTGAGAAATTCTTCAGAGCCATTAGTTAGCTTTCAGTCACTGAGCTTCAGTTCTGCCACTTAGTCATGCAGCACATTCTCTCCAGTACAAATTCCTCTCCTTGCTGAGGCGTGCGTTCATCTGTGTTTGTGTGAGTGCGTGAACTTCTTATTTACCACCCCTCACCCCCTTCCAGCCCCAGTGTGGTCGAGACCCGGTGGAGCTTCTGTGTGCGGGCTGCTATGTGGAGCTCCAGGATGGTGTTGACCCGGGGCTGGCCTGGGCTGCTGAGGTGGAGGAGAACGTTGGAGGAAGGCTGAAGCTCCGCCTTGTAGGCACCGAAGGCCTCCCAGACACACCCGCAACCCTCTGGCTCTTTTATCTCCACCCACGCCTCCACCCACCCGGCTGGGCCAAAGAGCACGGCTGCACCCTCAGGCCTCCTTCAGGTCAGCGGCACTGACATGGGTCAGGTTTTATATTTAGATGGAAAGAAAGAAAGGAAAATTGATTTCTACATATCCATGTTTACTGCCAAAGCAGGCGTGAGTAATGGTTTAGATGGAAGGGCACATGAAGAATTCACATGGATGCATGTTCAATTATCTGGTATAAGTCTATTATTATCCATTACACGGTTTCCTTTGTGCTGAAACGCTGAATAAAAACTTATGTTTTGTTACTAATCATAATTAGAAAAATAAGAATTTGTCACATTATGTGAGTTTTCCAATTGTTTGACAAGTGCATGCTTATGAAATACAAGAGACTAATATTCAAAAAGTAATAGTATCCCACTAGACCTTGAAATTAATTTTCCATGCAGGATTAGATAGATCATTGTTTTCAGGACCACAATCTGCTTATACTCTTGAAGTGAATAAAGTTTGCTAATATGCAAGATGTAAGAAGCACCAGAGGCTGTAACTCTCAACTGACACAGCTGATCTACCTACAGGTACCACTGCAGCTTCAGCCTTATTGATTTTTAATACCGTGTTTTTATTGTTAAAATGTAGTCTCTTTGTACCCGGATACTGTGCTTTTGAAAGGTACAACCAGAGTACAGTGAGCAGTAAAACTGATCTGAAAGAAGGTACATTTTTAGGTGGGCCTTTTTAATCCTTTAATAATAGAATATGGAAGATAAAAGGCATTTTTATAGGTGATGAAAGGTAATAATTTATGTACAGCCTTATTAATTCTGCACATTGTCTTGTTTATAAAGCGGTCTGCAGCCTAGTGTTCTGTGATAAGAAGCTTGTGTTTAGTGGTTGCAAAACTGTGTAGAGCAACATTGATTTTTTTTTTCTTTTTTTTTTCTTTGGCTTGTTTAATTAACTGTGGGGACTTTTTTTTTGGAGGTCCAGACCAAAGAACAAGCTGACAAACAGGCTGTGTTTTTCCAAGTGCAGGCATGTAGGTTTAGTTATTCAAATAAAAAAATATGTCCTTGATAATCAAACTGTACCACAGACGTCAGGAAGTCAGGGTTTGCTCTTCCCCAGCTGATTTGTGCGCATTTATCTGTTTGTTTCAGACCTATTGGCACTGCGGACTAAGGAGGAGTGGGAGGAGGTGAGACAGAGGATCAGTGATCTGCCTCAGGATGAAGCTCTGACTGCAGAGTTCACAAAGGTACCGTCAACAGTGCTCTTATCTGTTCTTCCTCCTGACCTGAACGGTTCACTGTTTGTTCACCAGTTGAGATTTTGTAATTATGTGTTAAGCAAAGAGTTTGGCGACGCTCTCCTCCAAACTTGGTGCTGAAACATTCACAAGAGCTGGGCTTTTGAAAATGACTCTGCACGTGTGTGTGTGTGTGTTGTTTGTCTCAGGATCAGCCTGCCATTTCTGCTCATTGTTTCAAGGAAGGGATGAAACTGGAGGCTGTTGACCCTGCTGCTCCTATTTCCATCAGGCCCGCCACTATCACCAAGGTAACAGACTTTCCTATCAAATCCGTTTCTCCTACGCTGCTATGTTTTGCCTCCTATTTGTTGTTTATTTGTCTTAGTTGTTCATATTTTCTATCTTGATTGCCAAGCTGTCTTCAGTCATTTGATTTATTGCTAAGAAATGATCACAGCTTGAACACGGCTGAATCGTTACCTGACCTCAAACGATTCTTGACAATGTCTCGGTGTCCCAAAACGACCTCCTGTATCCCTCAGGTGTTCAATGAGCAGCACTTCCTCGTGACCATGGACGACCTCTGTGGTATTGAGGAGTCGGAGGGTGCTGGCCGGTCCTTCCTTTGTCACAAAGACAGTCCAGGGATCTTCCCTGCTCAGTGGAGCCTCAAAAATGGGCTCCCCCTCAGCCCCCCACCAGGTTTGATCTGTCGCATATCCCTTTATCACAACTTGATATCAGAAAGTTAATGATAGCAGTAATTAGATCCTTTATACTCTCTCAGTCTGCGCTCACTTCCCTCTCTTCTGTGTATCGTGTGCAGGATATCAAGGTCCAGACTTTGACTGGGCAGATTACCTGAAACAATGTGAGGCCGAGGCAGCTCCTCAGCATTGCTTTCCAAATGTAAGTCATTCTCCATTTGACCATCTATTAGATAAAAATCCACCACCAGATGTGAGTCAGACCCACACCAACCACCAAAATAATGATAAATTGTGATTTTTATTTTATGTCTTTTTTCTTTTTTTTTTTTACATTCCTATCATATGTTGTTGTGAAAGTTGCATAAGATGTGTCTTACAAAGCGGTGGGCCTGTATGAATGAATTAAAGTTTAAACAGTATTTGTTTCAAGCAGCAATTAAGGCTACTGAAGAAATTTTTGCTTTCAACTAAATTCACCTCTTTGTATACAGGTGCAACCTCTGCCATGTGCAGGACCAAATAATTAGCAATTGTCTTAAAATTTTCAGCAGCCCTCTGAAAGTTGTAATACCAGCATGTGCGATATCAGTCTCCTGCACACTTCTTGTGTCAACACCTCAACGTATTGATGGGTTTGGTGCCGCTTCAGGGGCACAAGGGTAATTATGAATTGAAAACAGCTCAGTTCACTGGTTAAGTACAAAGTTTCTCTGTGAGCGTCACTGTTGAAAGAATCATTTGGTTGTATTTGCAGCTTTGGATCTTTTGAGACGCTTTAGTTTGTATTCATTGTTGGTCTGTAGCATTGCTACAAGTAATTATGTTTCTCAGGAGCGTGGTGGTAACAGCACAGTTGTCTGAATCAAGTAGCTTTCAAGTCGAAACTCCTTTATTGATTAAATGTTGTGGTAGCTTCTGAAAAAACTACATTCTTCAAACATTTCTGAAACAAAAAGGACATC